CAATAGGCGATAAAATGAAAGAGAGTAGACTTAGGTGGGATGGCTATGTGTGGCACCGACCAAATACAACACATCTTAGGAGGTACAAGTTAGTTCAAGTGGAAGGAATGAAAAGGAAAAGGGGTAGGCCCAAAGGGCGTGGTTGGAAGTAGTCCGAAAAGATATGGGGACTTATGGCCTCACTGAGGATATGGCCTTTAATAGAGCAGAATGGAGAATCAGGATTCATGTAGCCGACCCAATTAATTGGGAAAAGTCTAAAATGATAATGATGAGGAAGGTTCAGAAAAATGGTGGATTCAATTTCCCACCTTCCCTCCTGCATCAAGTGGCATCATAGCATGGTTCGAGGACTACAAGAGATTGTGATGGCTTGTCGTGGATGTCTTAACCGTAGGGATGCCGATCTGATCCAACTATGCAAGGAAATCAACAACTTGACGGAGAGGGTTACAGAGCTATTACTGCGTAAGAAAGGCCAGCAACAGCATGCCCTCAACAAAGAGGAATCTACGGGGATAGATCCAAATCAAGAGGGTTTTTATGGAAAATAGCGCGAATCAAAGTCCAACTCAGAGTTGGAGTGAAATGATGAAGCTTCCTTCAACCACTCGTTCTATGCACGCCCTCTGTGTTGGGAGCCTCATGTTCGGGAGAATAAATCATGGGAGTTAGTTGATCTACATGATTTGAAAGAGAATGAGCTTGATTTTGGCGTAGGTCGTATCGAAAATCAGCAGATCATAGATTGAGATCTGCCACCAATTTTGATACATACTTAGATGATGAACAAGATCTTCTAAGAGATCCAATCTATGATGATGATCAAGATTACATGGGTGAACAGATGTTTGACAAAGAAAAAGATCTTAAGGATATCAAAGAGGCGGAACATTTAAGAGATTTAAGGCATTGGAATCAGAGTAGCACAATGGAAGTGTGGTTGACTCATAATCAGCAATTTGTGGCCTTGGTTTCAGAGAGTAATGAAATAGATGTTGAGAAAGCCTCTAAAGTACAGAAAAATGGGTTTGAAGTTTTCTACACTATTTTCAATAGGAGCTCAAGAATAGCTGAATTTGATAAATTTGCATTGATTCCTCAAGATATATATATCAGGATCAGTTTCTTCTGGAATTGTTTTTACCACAATAATATTTGAGCCAACGAAGAAGAAGAAGGTTGAAGAATGCAATTTTGATGATGAATTCATCTTAGCACATTTCAAAACTCGAGGATACGTTTTCTCCGACCAGGGGAGAATGATGGAAGGAAACATTATAGTTATTTTTAATTTCGATTCAATTTTAAAGGATGTATATTTTGATTTTAAGTTTTTTTTTTGGATTCTAGGGTTTTCTTATATTTTCTTTATTTATTATTCATGAGTACTACTCATGATATTGTTCACACGTATTGTTCACGTGTTACTGTTCACAGGGATATTTTTAAAATTCCAGTATTGTTTTAGGGGTATTTTAAAGTAGTGCTACTCATGGTATTGTTCACACGTATTGTTCACGCATTATTGTTCACAGGGGTATTCCTAGAATTCCAATATTGTTTTAGGGGCATTTTAAAGTCTTAATTGTTTACTTGGGTTTAAGTTAATTCAAGGTTTCATAGGCTTATAAAAGTTCAAATGTTACATTTTGGGAGATATGTTATTGGAATAAATTTTATTTTATGAAAGAAGAAAGTTTTCCTCTCTTGGCTTGATTTACAGCCATATTCTTTCTCCATTATTGCTGATTCTACTTGTTTAAAGTTCAGGAAAAGCATGGATTCAACTTTCCACCTTTCCTTCCTGCATCAATGCCCAAGAAAAAATTAGCAAATCGTCATCATAAAGGAGGTAGGATGGTGAAGTTTTAACTTTAGAGTTCCTAGTTGGTTAGAACCTATTGCTTTCATTTATTTTTTGATAAACTTGCTAAAAAAACCCCATGGCTGTGAGAAGAGGTATTGGGATAAAGGGTCGTAGAAGTCCATTTTGCCATAATCAAAAGGGGTGCAATTGAGGACAATAGAGCATTTGGGTATGGTGATGCACAATTTAACACAATTAATAAATTTATCTCCAAACGCTTATATGTGAAGTTCATTTTGTTAGAAATTGAAATTTTGACTTTGTCAAATGCCTCATGCAGGTCTATTTTTAAGCAAAAAGGTTCTTTCTTTTTGCTTTCTGGCCATACTACAGATAAGTTCATGTGCAACTAAAGGTTGCTTGGAGATGTTTCCGTTTTATAGAAAGTTGCGTTGGTTAGGGCTAATGATTGCAGTTTTGCTAATGACCTTGTAGATCACATTGTAGAGGCTTAGAGGACAAAAATCAGCCATGGAAAGAACATGTTCTTTAAAATAAGAGTGATGAAAGTTAAGGGATTGCATTATTGATTGCCAACAAAAGGTATCGCCTATGGCTTGAGCATTCCCTTGGCCCGTTATGTAGCAATATATATATAAAAAAATTTGGTGGGAAAACGTTGGGTACAGGGGATTGTTTGCATTTAGACTTAATAAGGTATTACCAATTTCCTCAGAGGTTACCTCATTTTGAAGTAGTTCATTTGCTTCCTTGATGATTTGGGTTTCAAAAGCGTGGAGTTATATGTGAGCAATATGGGTTGCACTCTATCTAGAAGGTTTTTGTAAAAGCTTGAGCTTCATGTATTATGCCTCTTTAGTTTTGGCCAGTGAGCCATCTAGCTTTTTGAGTTTAGAGATGTTTGTTCAACACTTTCTCATCAATTTTCTTGAAAATAGAATTTTGTACTAGAATCGCCTTGAGTTAACCTTCATTATCATCATCATCCGAGCCTTATCTCAACTATTTGGGGTCAGCTACATGAATCTCGATTTATCATTTTGCTCTATCAAGGGCCATACCCTCAGTAAGACCATAAGTCACCATATCTTTTCTCACTACTTCCATCCATGTTCTTTTGGACCTTCCCCTTGCCATTTTAGAGTTTTCCACTTTAACCAATCACACCTCCTAACCAGTGTTGTATTAGACCCAACTCACCTAAGTCTACTTTCCTTCACACCTTGAGTTAACCAATTTTGCCTTTATTTTTGTTGTCCAAAAGAAGACTCATTTGCAAGAGCTATGGAGAGCTCCCTATGGAGTTTCTTATCATCATAAAATTCAAGGTTCATGTATCATCTCCAGCTTTTCTTTAAGTTGTTCCATTTCTTTAAGGCTTGTTTGATGCTTTTGAGTTTTGTGCCTAAGCATAGCACATCCTGTAATTCTTTCATTCCAACACTTCTTTACAATTTCCTCACAATAACTACGTTCAAACCACATATTAAAAAATTTGAAAGGTTGTAGTCTCAATCTATGAGTTGCTCGATTTGCACTGCAATGGGTTGTGGCCTGAATTAGATCTTGGGAGGTGGTTTACTTTAGAAGTAGGGAAAGAAGTAACTTATTAGTTTGAAACCAAAATTCTATCTAGCTATTCATAGATAGAAGCTCCTCCTACTTTGGTTATTTCTCCAAGACAGCTTGTAGGCAAGTTTCCCTAAGCCTATGAGACCGCAACTATTTATTATCTCTAAAAATTCCATTCTCTACTTCCATGGAATAGGTTTTCCTCCCCTTTTCAAATTCACAAATTGTGATGTTAAAATCCCTAGTCACAAGACATGAGTGTGTGTTAGCAATAGGGGCAAAGTTAGATATTTCCCACCGTAGGTTCCTATGAGTATAAGGGCTATTGGAGGCATAGACTATGGAGAAGTTACAATAGATTGAAGTTGAGGGTTCAGTGGATTGGACATGTATTGTTTGGGATGAGGAGGGCTATGATTTGAAATCGTATGTCATTTTTAATAGAACCAAACTACGGCCACACCATTTTTTCATAGTTTGCCACTACTCCATAGGAGCTATCCAGTTTCCTAGATATCTTGTTGAATTTCTTGGAGCCGACTCTGGTTTCATTGTCACAGACTCCAACATCAAAAATATCACAGAAAGAATGACTATTTCGGCAGAAGTCCCTCAAGTGCACATGTTCGACACTCTTGTATTTCTTTTCTATCCTACAGGTTTCAGCCCAACCATTTCAGCATATCCGAAACAGGTTGAACATTGACAAAAGTGTGAAATTGTATCAGAAGAACCAGCATGCAGGGCATCATATCATTTATAGATTGGAAAGTGGGAAAAGTTTTTATTAATTCAAGAGCTAATGAAGGTTACTTTGAGGGTGAACCTGGAATACTTAAACCTTTCGACTAGTCAAAAACTAGGAAACAGGTGAAAATCATGCATGCCAAATTAAAAGGTTAGAATGACAACCGAAACCAATATAAGGGGTTTTCAATTTTTTGAATATATTCTTTTCCATTTCAGATATTTTTTATGAATTATTATAACTTTTTAAGTAGAGTTTGATAAGGCGCATAAGTGTCCTAGTTCAAGTCCCCAGTTAACTTCTCATGAGGCTTGGCCAAGCCTGAGTCTAAAGATACATTTTATGTACCTCTATATAATGATTTTGCACACACACACACACACCCACATCAAATTCAATAAAAGTAGCATTAGAAATGGCATTAATGAGCCTCCTCAACTGCTCCCAGGATATCAAAAGTAGCGACCATGAAGGTTTTTATTTGACTTCTTCCAATTCTTTTAACTATTTGAATTCATTTTATGAGGGACTGAGAATGGCCAAATTAACCTCTGCGGCCTTAGAAGGCTATCCAAATAAACAAGAAATAAAAAAAGTTTCAATGTAGGTTTTATGACCACGCAATTCACAAAATCTGCAAGGAGTATCTCAATCTAGTCTGTAAAACATAGATCATGCATAATACTCAATAGGAAGAGAATATGACATCATCGAGAAACTATTGACAAACTCTCAAAAGCCAAGCTATGAATGAATTGAAACGCACAACATTAATCTAAGTTACAGAACACTATAAGGTAAGCCACAAAAAATATATCAATGTGCATGTTAAAAAACGATACGAATCACCTTTGATACAGACATCATATTAGTCGTGAGAGTCCCTGTTTTATCACTGCAGATTACAGTAGTGCAGCCCAAAGTCTCCACTGAAGGGAGAGATCTCACAATTGCATTCAATCTTGCCATGCGTTTTGTACCAAGCGCCAAACACCTAAATCAATAAAGACAATTTCCAAGAGGACAAAAGGGGACCTTATTTCAAGACAATCCTTGTAAGTCAACAAATTGTGAACAAAGCAAAGTTGAATAATACAATACTCACGTAGTAACAACAGCAGGGAGTCCCTCAGGAATTGCGGCAACCGCAAGTGCAACAGCAATCTATGAATTACACAAACAAAGTACATGACTAATTAAAAAATAAGAAGAAAAACAAACCTCTTAGAAATTATAACGACAAACTTCTCGTACAAATGTAAATAGAATTTTTAACATGACACCAAGTAAATAGAATTTTTAACATGACACCAAAGCAACAAAGAAATCAATTCAAGGAACAATCGAAAAAGATAAACCCTATATTTGGAACAAGGAATTCGCAGATAAAAAATATTTAATTTTCATAAAAAGATAAACACAATATTCTTGCAAGTATATATGCAAAAGGGTCATTAATGCCTTGTAGACCATCTTATCACCATTCAATGGAAATAAGAGGCAACCAATGAAAAATAAGAATAATGAGAATAGTGTAAGAACAATAGTATAATTTAAGGACAACCAAAACATCATATTCTAGCAATGAAGACCATCATAATTGGCCCTTGAAAATATGTGGACTTGCCGCAACCTTATCAGACTTCAACAACAAACAAGCCAATAGGCATCATGAGAAATATTTGGAAGAAACACATCAGTTCCCAAATCAGAGTTTTCCATGACAAAAATCCAGGCATGCATGAAGAACGAATGTTAAGGATGCAGGAGAAACAAAGTTGAGGACGAGGTCCCATCTTCTCCTCCTAATCCAGATATTTTCATCATCATCATCACCACCACCACCATCATCATCATCATCCGAGCCTCCCATCTAACTGGGGTCGGTTACACGAATCATGTTCAGTATTTCTGCTCTATCAAGGATATTACCCTCAATTAGACCGCAAGTCACCATATCTCTTCTCACTACTTCCATCCATGCCCTTTTGGGCCTTCTCTTTACTTTGTTGGAGCCTTCCACTTGAAACAAATCAACATTCTACCCGGTACTGTTCTAGATCGACATTGCACATGGCCAAATCACCTAAGTCTACTTTCCCTCATCATGTTGTTGGTTGGAGCTACCCATAAGTTCCCTTAGATGTATTCATTCTGAATTCTATGCTTTCTTGTCTTGCCACTCATCTATCTCAACATCCTCATCTCAGCTATACTCATTCTTTCGATGTGTTGTTTTTTTACCACACAACATTCCATCCTATAAAGCGGCTAGTCTTATAACTGTCCTATAGAACTTCCCCTTAGTTTCATTTGATATGCAACAATCACATAAGACTCAAAAAGCACATCTCCACTTCGTCCACCCAGCTCCAATTATATGCACAACAACTTCCTCAATCTCTCTATTTTCATGGATGATCAGCCTCAAGATTTCAAAAATAATCTCTCTTAGGTACTTGTTAGCCATCAATCTTAACTAATTTCTCGCTTCTACTCCTATTGCTACTAAACTTGCATTCCGTACATTCTATCTTAGTCTAGTTAATTATAAAACCTTTAGTTCTTGAGCATCCTTCCAAAGTTTCAACTTTGCATTGACATTGTCTCTAGTCTCATCAATCAATTGTATGTCGTTCGCGAACAACATATACCATGGATCTCATCATATAGATGCCTAGTTAACTCATCAATAACCAAAGCAAAACGATATGGGCTTGACATTGACCCCTGATGTAAGCCTACTGTAACTAAAAACTCACTTGTCTCTACGCTAGTTATATTCACATTAGTTCACACTCTCACTTACATTCCCCTCATAATGTCAATATACCTCTAGAGAATCGTTTCTTTTCTAACACCCACCAAATTAACATTTTAGTTACCCTATCATATGCTTTCTCTAAATCAAAAAAGACCATGTGGAGGTCTCTTCTCTTCTCCCTAAACTTCTCAATCAATTTTTTAAGTAGGAAAATAGCCTCAATGGTTGACCTCTCTGGCTTAAAACCGAACTGATTTCTGATAGACTTGTTTATGCCGTAGTCGTTGCTCAATCACTCTTTGCCGCCGCTTCATAGTGTGGCTCGTAAGTTTGATCACTTGATAGTCATGCAGACCAAGGCGACGTGACAAGGATGTTTCCACCCATAACCTCCAAACACTATAACCTCATTTGAGAAAGAGGTTGAATGCTTCTTAGCTGATCGAGTAAGCAGTCGAGGCGTGGCTAAGCATAAAAAAGACTTAGTCAAGTGGAAGGCTCCATCGGCATCCGCTCCTTTGCCAGTCCCTACCGGTACTCTTCTTGGTCCTATCTCTGCTCTGGTTCCTGCCACCCGCATCATCTCTTGCTCCTACTTAGAGTACTGTTCCACCGAAGCGGTTGGCTGTTCCAGACAACTCTGTATATCTCTTTTGTTCTCATCTAAACAATTTTGTCAAAAACAATTTATGGCATGTAAGCAGGTCTGCCTGTTCTATAGAACATCTATATTTTAAGTGCAAAGATGCTAAAAGGGCCCTTGAAAAATCTAAATCTCTCAATGGAACTTGAGTCACTATCCCAAGGCACAAACACTATTCAAAATGACCAAAGCATGATGCAGTCAATTTTGGTGGTAGAAGGCTCAATTAAAAGATCTCGCTTGGATCCAATGACTACTATTTGTCTATTCTATAGTTTGGATGTTTCAAACTTGAAATCTTTTCTCCTCTCGCTAAACTTCTCAATCAATTGCCTAGGTAGGAAAATAGCCGCAATGATTGACCTCTTTGACATAAAACCGAACTAATTTTCTAACACACTCATTTCATATCGCAATCATTGCCCAATCACTCTCTACCACATCTTCATAGCGTGGCTCATAAGTTTAAACCCTCCATAGTTTATATAACTCTATATGTCTCTTTTGTTCTAACCTAAACACTTCTGTCAATAAAATTTAGGGTATATACGATGTTTGCTTGTTCTATAAAATATTTGTCTTTTAAGTGCAAAAGTGCTAAAAAAACCGCTCAAAGAAACCAATCTCTCTGTGGAACTTCAGTTGCTATTCCACAGCAAAAACATGATTTAAAATGGCCGAAGCATGATGAAGTTAGTTTTGGTTGGCAGAAGGCTCACTTAGAAGAGGCCTAACTGATTGTTGTTCACTCATTAAAATAGTTAGTTATGGTTCTCCAGCCAATCACAGAGATGGAGACAACAGAGCAGGAAGTAGCATGCACCTACAGTTGACCAAGTTTCCCGAGTCTCACTAACGGCACTGGCGCCTAGCATCACAGCTGCCACCTGCGGCCAAATCCAGCCCCAACATTGATGGCCCTATTGAAGCGGACCTGGAACCCGAAGCATCCATAGCAAAGGAGGCATCGGGGAAGGCACTTGGCTAAGTAAAGGCGGTTCGAAAGCAGTAGTGCCAGCGCCCACTCCTCTAGGATCCCCTACCATTCCTTTAAACCTCTTGAGCAGGTATATGTTTGTTTGTTGTCATCGGAACAACTATAAGTAATCAATTTTCTTCAACCTTTATATGTTATCTTATCGGATCAACTATAAGTAATCAGTTTTCTTCAGCCTTTGAATGCTATCTTAAAAATAAACAATAAAATTTTATCTGCCTAGGTTTCCATTAATTGGAGTCTTAATTTCCTATTTTGTTTAACTTTCCTCTCAATTTCCTATTTTGTTTAACTTTCCTCTCTATAATAGGAATCTTTAGTTTTGTAATTGTTTGCATTCCTTTTGGATTACAAGCAAGCCCAGAATTGCTTGGAGTCCAAGCCAAGGGAGGATAATAAAAGAGTGTTAAGGGCTATGGCCACATTAATTATAGCAGTAATAAATTTGCTTTATGTGAGCTTTCAGTGGTTGATTGTGTATCTCATGGTACAAATTCCTCAAGTAATCTTCATGGTGCCAATTCTATGAAAGTTTTGTACTGTATTGATTCTTGTTTGGATGCACAAGATACTCTAGATAAGCATTGATTAGGTTATCCAAAGAACCCATATGTAGTTTGCCTGGGTGCCTACAAAATCTTGGGGATAATATTTTAGGTAATTTCCCATAGAAGAATATACCTCTGAAAAAGGTACCATATCCTTATATCGAATAATTGAGCTTTATTCGGGCAGACAGTAAGGTAAAACTCTCTCCATATCCTTATATCGAATAATTGAGCTTTATTCGGGCAGACAGCAAAGGTAAAACTCTCGCTTTATTTGGGCAGACAGCAAAGGTAAGACTCTCTCTCTCTCTCCTCTCTCTC